GGGTACCGGCAAGTTGAAGCAATCTGCTGGAGCGGAATTTACTGGAAACCTTACGAAATTTATCGGACACTTGACATTCCACCAAATCAAATGACCTTTCAGCCTCCTCTGTTGTTATTGGCCATTTAAGGCTATTCTACACGTTGAAGGGCATCTGGGAGTATGAGTTCAAACCCAGGGTGAGATAAGTGGAGCTTAGTCGTTAGCTATTTGGTCAACTCATCATCACACAATTGTTCAGAAAAAAATGATCCTAATCAGGCAGAGTAGTTCGTTTTGTTGCCTTTCCCTTTTTTACTTCGCTGGCTACTTTCTCGTCATCTGGAGTCAACGTTGTACTCATTCACCCTTTTGGAAATAAAAGAATTATGGTTTTTACTTAATGGTGCTATGGAGGTAGTAGAAGTATTCTAAAAACATTTGAAATGTCTTTTTTGCTTTTTTTTTCTGTGAAGTCTCACTTTGGCGGATAATTTAAGTAAATGTCAATTTTGGTTGCTGATTCTCGGAAATTACACAAAAAATTTTATTCCATTGACTCTTTTTTGTGATCAAAAGTCGCAAATTTGTTTCATCAATTACATTTCTTTCTCTTTTTCACTGTCATTTGGAATGCTAGGCTGTGTTACTTCCACACAGGCTCATGCAATTACTGCCTCTACGTGAGGTTAGGACTGCTCGACAACATTACGACCTATCTGCAAATATCCTGTCATGAAGGGACATTCGTAATTAAATGCCCCACGCATTTGTAGCCAAATTTAATGAGGTCATTATTCCTGTCGCGTATTTAAACACTCCCGGTTGCAAAGCTCAATTTTGTCTATCATTTAACAATGCAGCTGTGCCAGTCTTCTGTCGATGGTGCAATCAAACCTGTTGAGGATTTTCTTCTCCATTCTACAGAGTGTTAAATTGTTTGTCAAGTGTACATTCTCGACAAGTGATTTGGTACAAATGATTATTGCCATAAGGTAAATAACCTACGCCACATATACGTGACGATAGATGTACATGGGAAAGTGGAGGCGTTGCGCAAAAATGTGATGCGATACCATCTGCCACAGTGATGCCAAGTAATTACGAGGTAGTGGGCAGGATTCGATGCAAGCGCTTCTCGTCAAGGAACCGCGTCACGCCGAGGCCACTTAAGAAGATGGAAGTTTCACAACCACATACGATTCCATTGGTAACTAGGCCATGGCAAGTGACTACTCCCTAAGGTAAGAAATTTTTGTTCCGAGTTATGCTTTTCATGTTACCTAATCCATACATTTCTTACCAAATTGGAAGAAAACCAATGATTATATTCATACAAGTGTACATTTTATCTTTCAGAAAGATTGCTTAAATAAGTGGCTGTACATCCGACGAGTTGTATTTAGCCGTGGAGAAGAACTTGCTTTTGTAAAGTAGGGAAATTTGTCTTTCTTGGTATTCCCTTTAAAAATCTAAATGAAGTATTTGCGTTTGTTCAAAGATATCGCGGTATGCCGCTAATCCAGCGAATCATTTCGACGGTAGGTTTTACCCAGGTGTACTTGTGATAGGCTCTACCGGAAATTAACCTCCACGTAAATTACAAATTCCTGCTTTAGTACGCCTGAGTTTTTTCCTTTCCGACGCCCCTTTTAATTTGAGTTAATAATGCCTTGCCCTTTTTAAACAAAAAATCCGTGGACCTTATTTAAACAATTGCAAACTTTGGAAAAAACACATGTTTTTCATTTTCTGTGTATTTTTCCTCAGTTGTAATACTAACGTTGGAAGGGTAGGTATATTAAGTAGCACCTTGTTCAAGCAAGGTATTACCTTGAAAAGGTTGAATGTTGCCTTTCCCCTGCAACACAAACACCGGACAAAACAAAAAACGAAAATACATAATAAAAAGTAGTCTAGCATGCAAACATTCCCCGTTTTCAACGCAGCTTCAGTTTTTTGTAGACCACTTAATCCACGCCAATCCTCTACCCTTTAAATTACATGTCGGCGCCGTTTGGGAAGGAGGGGCGAAAAAGCTATTGCTTCGTGATTAGTTTAACCGAAGTCACTTCCTCCTCCGCCTCGGTGTCGGTTCTATGCGCCTTCAATTACACCCACCGTGAAAGGTTGTTAAATGTACGTGTAAGTAAATTGAGCTAAACCAGTTAGGAGTTAAGCTGTACTCTAGAAAATCGCACCAGTGGATGAATTCTCCCCCCTCCTTTCCACATAATTAGTGTCTTAAATCTCTAACGGTAATACTAGACCTGGAGGGCAATAAGTATTATTAATGATTTTGATGTCTTATGGACAGTTGGAGGAGGTTTGGATTTATCGAGAAAGAAAGTATTTGCAATTCCCAAGACCTATTATGAAAAAGATGGGGAAAAATTCACTGTTTAAATCTCTATCTTGTGCTTCATTTAAACCAGCCAATCAGTCCTGGTGGTGGTAGTTGAGTAGTTGGGCGCCTGCAATTTGCTTCATCAACTGAACAAATTTAGTCAATGAGAAATTGGGTAAACAGAGGCAAAATCATGCGCCTGGTGCAATAAACATTAACATGACGCCTTTTTCGTGCTTTTGGACGTCATTTTTACCTGCCAATGGGAGCGACGCTTTAAAGGTCACTAATATTCCTTCTGCCTCCCCACCCCCACCTCCTCCTGTTGACTATCTACAAACCTTGATAATTAATTTTGTTGTTTCTTGACAATTATGGAGGAGTCAATGACCATTGATTAAGTGACAGGGGTCCAGTGCTTCCAGAAGTCAGTGCTCATTCATGTGATACTGCCAGGGAAATCAACTTAAAAACAGTTGGTCAGATACTTACATAAAAAGTTTTTTTTTTTTCCTACTCGAGGGAAAGAAATAAAGGTTTTACATTTTATGCAAGAGTGTAAGGAATTTTTACTCGAATTTGTAGAGATTTGTGCAGAAAAATTTAGTTAGGAGATTATTTTGCTGCTCTTATCCAAGGTAAAATCTCCCATCATGGTAGAGGAAATGATTTTTTGTAGTTTTTTACAATTTATTACTTTAAATTTACTTTTTTTTTCTGATTTTACCCTCTTTTTCTCATTATTTGCACCGTCTTTAATTGATCCAGGTATTTATTTTTCAGGTGTTCTACCTTGCTAACTACCACTATCAATTATAATTACATCCTCGGTGAAATTGCCCCTTCTACGAAAAATAAACCACTCCTCCCCGTTTTAACTTTTCCGCCTAAAATGGCTCTAAGTTCAAATATTTCATTTAAGTTTCTCATCTGATGCCAAAGTAGGGGTGTTTGTCACTTGGGGAAGTATTATCGAGATAAAGATGCAAGCAAGGGGAGGGCAATACCTCTCTCCCACTGTAAAGTTGTCTTCACACAAGTAAGTGTACAGTCAATACGCTCCTCCTATTCATCAGTTTTGGCCGTGGTCACTACGTTCATCTCTCCAACTGACAGTCAACTGATGTCGTTTTAATGAGGGTACAATGCCATTCCACTTTAGTCCACCAGAAGTAGCTGCAATCCCACAGACGAAGACATGTTAAAAATTTGGCATTTTTGTCGCTGCCCCTGCTTCTGATGCTGTGTAAACGCCTACCCCTTCTCCCAAATGGAAGGCCGTAAATTAGTCGGTTTTTTTGGTGTAAGAGAGAGGATTTAATGAAGCTGATGCGTTGTTACGGCTTCTCTGAATTATTCAATTCACGCGGGTCTATTTGTACAGCTAAAGGTGAAGAGGTGTGGGTGGTTGGTAGATTTTGTGTGATCCACCACTTGACCCAAAAGCGAAGGCTTATTCTAGAGCTTTCTCTCTCTCCCTTCATCACACAAGCTCCCTCGCGCTCTGTTTAAATATTAATGCGTATGCCTTAATAAGGTAAACTGTGGGATTTATAGGAGTAGAGGGGAACAGTGAATTTATTTACTACTTTTCTACCAGTCCAACCAACCTTAAGGGCCAGCCTTACTCGAGAGCTTGTTATTTTACCAGAGTTAAAAAAAAACACTCGAAATCACAGACTTCCATTAGCAAAGAATGCTCCACCGTCGGTTTCCAACTTTAGAGTTCAGATTTTTTTGACCACTAGAAACATAACGGATGTCGTTCAAGAACCATTTGTTGGGCAATTTATCAACTGGACATCCAGAGTGCTCTGCATTCATCATTGTCAATTCTTCTACAGTTGATTAACTTAAGAGAGGATAATTTCATTTTCCATTACCAAACACACCTGCTCTATGGAGGTGAGATTGTGCTATTGGCACACTATCCGGTCTTAAAAAGGAGTATGACAAAGCAGCATTCCTCTTTGATGCAATATTAATGAATAAAGAGAGGTATTATTTAATGATCGAACCAATCATGGAATAAGAAAAGTTATACTAGCCATCCTTATTCAAACCGAGAGGGAGTGGGGTGAGGGGATGGAGAGATTTCCGAGTGCCAGAAGGAGGCAGTCAGGCCCGAGCGATCGAGAATGATCCGAGTTAAGAAGAACCGAACCCAACTTACCAAATAGAGGCGGCGAATTTAGTTTAAACGTGCGAGAGAGTGTGGTAAAGGCCTAATTAATTAATGGGGCCTAAAATCCAAACTGTCAGTAGTGCTACTCGGCGTCCTCAACGCTACAATCGCTACCGCTGTTAATCCTACCGCTACTGCTGCTGCCTCTACTGCTCCTAATCTGCCAAGCCCCCGCTCAGCTCAACTCCACCCAAACTGTTATCCCTATGGCGACCCCACAAAAAAGCATGGCCGGCGCCCAATCTAAGTAGGCAATTTGTTTAAAACTAATTCACTTTGCATCACCCGCCTGAGCTTTTCCGCTACCAAGCTAAACTCCGTGTGCTCCTTACGTCGCAACGAAACGTGAGGCGGCCATAACCGCAGCAACTGCAGCTTCGGTACAGTTAGGAGTAATTTTTAATTAGTTGATTGCCTCCTTCTCTTCTCGAGCTCACTAACACGATATGGAGAGTAGTTGTAAGGGAAAGTTGGTGGCAGTCGTGCATTCGCCTCCGGAACAAACTCACAGTTTTCTTCTCCTTTACTTGTTGCACCTATCTTCAAATAAATCACTCACTAGAAGGCTAAAAATGTTTCTGTTTACTTAGTTGCTCTCCTTGCTTTTATTTTTACCCATTTTATGCTTTTGAGAATGAAATTTAGGTAAGTTGGAACTCGTGCTGTGCACTAAGTTTATCACTGATCGCCAGAGTTTAAGCACTGAGCATCTGCTTAAAGAGGCGGAAAAAAAATACTGAACAAAAATCGAAATAAACTTTAAATTTATGAAATGAAAAGGAAATACATTAAGTTACCAATGTATCAACTTGAGTAGTTGTTAGGAGAAGTGAGGAATTATTGCTGTTGAGAAAATGATCTTAGCCAATTCGTAGATCTTGCCAGATGCATTAGTGACACAATAAGGTTTTTTTCTCTTCCAAAAGAGGGGACATATGAACGACTCTGCTTGGATGGTTTTTTAAAGGCTTTTAAACAATTATTCGTCCTTATACACACACACATACTTGATGTCTTCAATTGGGGAGGGGCGTTCTGTCACGCAGTTCCACATTCCAATGTGATCAAAGTAGTTTCGGAATGATGAATTTAAATTCCCTGCCTAAATTATGCGTTATTTAGTTAAAACAAGTAAACTCTGTAGTGTAAAATCTTTTCTAAAAGACGAATTAAAAGGGGCAGAAACTTGCTGCAAGTACAAACGAAGAAATGTCTCAGTGGTAGGCAAGATGAGGTGATCCACTCCCTCACGGTGGAATGAGGTGCTGTGGGAGGCTGTGCAAGGCTTTTCGTGCCCACGCTTGAGCCTGATGCGATGCCTTACAAGTGCGGGACAGTGGAGCGCTCAGCGTTGGAGTACACAAACCAATCTACTAACAATCTTCTTACCGAAAGGTGGGGGTAGTAACTGTCATACGTAAAAGAAGCGGAAAAAGGCGACATCTTCACTGTCTTTCATCCCTTAATGCATGGCAGAGGGCACCCATTTTAGTAGTAGCATCTACGTGCTTCCTGTCTCAGTTGATAGGAATATCTGCTAATTTTTGCAGCGCCGCTGGCCAGAAGGAAATTGCTTACCCAGGCGGTGCGTAGATTCCGCCACTACGTGCCGCAGTAGCCCAAACCACACAGTAAGTCAGAACCTCAGCCTTACGCTCCTTTTGTCTGAGGAAAAGAATGTAACGAGGTTAAACTTGCCGAAGATATCATATAATTATATGAGACCCTGATGCATCCTAAGAGGTACCAGTGTGGTTTACGCCAAAGGCGAGAGACTAAGTTTCATAATCGCTATGTTCTTGGACTTTCAAAAATAAAAGCTCTTGATCATGACAAATGGGAAACTACCCAGTTTTACATGAACGCCGGCACTTTAAACACTCGCGGTTGACAATATATCAATGTGTAACTCTTATTTTCGTTTTAATGTCCCCGATGGCAAAACAGAGATCAAAGGAGTGCGCTGCTTTTGAGGAATTGCAAACTAACATTTCTAAATTGTATAGAAACTAACAAATTTACATAAGAACGGATTCCGACAAAAACTTCTAAAAATAATAAACCATTGTAAGGCGAGAAAGGACTAGCAAACATCTACGAGATTTAGAATTTCAAGTTAATTTATAAAACATTTTAAATAACAGAAGCGTTTTAATCCTTTTTACCTTACATAGAAGAAGAAAAAGGCGTTTTTGTATAAAGAGATTCATTATGGAAGAAATCAAACAAGTTTCCGACTTTTTGGCCTCTTCATTTCAAAATTTTGCATTTTTAAAATCTTTGTCAAATGTAGTGTAATTAGTTTCACTTGTTGCAGTCCAAGGCGCTTATTCTTGCATTTTCCCGCAAATAATCTTTTCCCAATCCACATCTATTGTACAGTAGACAAAAAGAAACTTTTCAAACACGGCGATTTAAGTTAATTCAATGCGTGATGGTTTCGAGGTCATTATTGAGGTGAGCAAATCAGACAGCCGCCATTGTAGGCTTGAACGCGCAACTAGTTAATGAAAATTCTAAGACTTAAAAGAAAATTTGTGTTCCTCTGGTATTTAACTATGCAAACTTCCTGAGGCACATAAGTTTTGATCAACGCTTAATTATGGTAGTTAGTGTCATCGTGTCATTTTTCCTTATGGAATGTATTCACGTGGTATAGAGGTAAGTATACAATGTTTTTATTACCACCTTTGCTCTTGGAGACGTATGGCGTCAGCATGAACCTGAGAGAGTGTATTATAGACTTGCGACTCCGTGACACTAGTGGGGAGGCTAAAAAGACCATTCGAATGAAGCATGTACGAAAAAAAATCGCATCATTCTATCGTATTTTTCACATGTCACTTCAAATAGGGCGCTGTTACTCCTCTTCTGGTTTGAATATTACCTTACTTCAAACGACTGGAATCATATAGCTGAACTTGCAAAGATACTTTCGAAAAGATGAGGACATCAAACTGCACACGCTGGTTGTTTGTTTGACTCTCGGTTTTGGTGAAGGGGACGACATTGCTCCGGCATTGAACCTTCGACGGGTTGGCTGGCCTTCCGGCCATGAAAGTAGCCTCAAGCCTTCAGGAAAGTCTCTAGGTGCTATAAAATACTGGACGGAGGCATGTCTTGAAGAAAAAACGTAGTACTTTGCCTTTATTGGACCGTGTTGTTAGGTTAAGCTCCTATCTATGTTGCCTTTATTTTACGCTCCGGAATTGTATGCACTACTTCGTGGCAGCTTGACGGGTTATGAAACGCGATTGCAACAGAAGATATGGTAGACGTATGAACATTCCTTACAAGAATGGAAAACGTCACTACTATCTGTTAAATCTTGAGCTGAGAGGCCAGCTGAAGAAAAAACTAATCAGACTAAGGGGTCACAATTAGCATTCGATCACGTGGAAAGTGTCCAGCGGCAAAAGTCTAGTATGTTTTTAGTTCTTTTAAGGATATACCTAGAAACTTCACTTAATATTAGTGCAGAAATTATCCTCTTCTTTCTATTATAGACATTTAATTTGACTATCAACTTCAGTGGCAGTTTTCCTCATTAAACTTATTTGACGTTTATTTTACTAATAGATCGTAAAATGACAATCACGTTGTCTAAAACGGCCTCCCTTAATCCCAACGATTAAACGCATACAAAGTCGTTATTTTTGCATTAACATTGAGTTATATAAGGCAATCTTATTATTTTTAGACAACTTCAATATTTTGCACCATCTTAATTAATTACTCGCAGGATAAATGAAATGTAGGCCTTATTTTTACGGTTATTTATAGGCGTCTGTTAACCGAGAAAATAATTAATGAGCTAAACTTGCACAAAAATTGGAAACCCTTGTGTCTGTCTAGCATAGGCCATTATTAATATTGTTGACAATAATCTTTTTAGATAATATGACCTGCCATTAAACTGTCAGGCTAATGGACGTTAAGGTAAATAATTCGTATGCCCTTTAGGAGATTCTCCCTGTTAGACACGCTTTACATCATAATTATGCAAAGTAGTTCTAGGTTGGACATCTTTATGCAAAGCTGAAATCAAAGTCTTGGAAATCCCATTTTTCCTTCTTTTGCACTGGTGGCTTTCGTTTGCACTCCAAGAAACATAACATTGCCCGACAATTTTAAGCACCCTTTTAAGGTGTTTATGCTACACGGAAAACGCAAGTCTTGACAAAGTGCATAATATCCGTGAAAGTGAGACAAGGCATGAAGGGTAGACACATGTGGTCGAGGTCTTATCAGGGATCTTCGTTCCTTGGGTCATCACCTATTGGCCCAAAGGATTTATTTTTATTATATGCATAGGTTTGGGATGCGAGACTGTAGTTATGAGTTCCTGACTATGATACAAGTAATCATGCCCTCGCGTGATTACATATACAATACAGGAGGTGTCAAACAACTGCACATATATTCTTGTCGGAAGGCGATGCCAAAGCAAGGCGTGGCAGTAATTGAATAAGTGATATTCAGCTAAAACTTTTGAAAAAACAATAATGAAGAATACTATAGAATTATGTGATGTATCGAGTCCTTGAGTAATTAAAAACAGATTTACGGAACTCTACCATCTCTTTTTATCCTAATGAGTAAACACAACCCATTCTGAGCCTTTTGCCACTATGACAATGGGAATTTCGCCAACAATCACAACAAGGCTTATAAAAAAACCATCTGGAACTAGTTTCGAAAGTGTACTTGTAGGACGTGGCTCGTAGGTCTCCTCTTCTCCCGTCTCCATAATCTTAGAATACCCACGTTGGTTTGACTTTGACATGTTTATTAAGATAAGTAAATGGGGAAAGCCAGTACAGATTTTAGAGGGGTGCGGACACGTAACCTCTCTTCGGGTTGCAGGGCGTTGACTCCTCAGTCACGAGGATCGACTCGTATCCCCGCCTCCTCTCTGGAAGGAACATTAAAACAACATAAATATCACACACTATCTGTTGACCGAAGTAAATTTATTGAGCCGTTAAAGGTGCGTTTAAATAAGGTGGAACTTCTACTGTAAGTTAATTAGTAGAATACTATGAATGTAAACGCCTCAAAACCATGCAGAAAGAGATTATTTTGAAGCATCGATAGGAAAGAACTGATGTAGCTCGGATATAACATTGAAAACAAGAGAGCACAGAGATCATTCGATAGCCCCCACAAATAACTCCTTATCGGGTTCCTGTAAGGGAAAAAGTCAAAAGGTGAATGTGCGGCGGGATAATCAAAACTTGTTTTACAGTTTGAAATACATAATTAGGGATAGGTGTAAGACTGCAATTCCACCGCTTTCAAGTTTGTAGTCGTGAAACTTAGATTCGCTAAATTTTGTGTAAAGTAAAAATAGTGATCTTCTGCAGCGATAAATACCTCCCACTCATCGTCCCCATCACCACTTAAACCAGAGTAGTTTAGATAAAATGATTAGAGATGGCTCTGTAGCTCGTCAAGTATTTCCCATAACTTCGAAATAAGTCAGGGTAGTATAAAGGACCAAATACAACTTGACGGCATGGTGATAATAAGTGCTCCAGCGTGATCAAATTTTCACGACGCAGTAACAGTGCTGACGGTGGAGAATAGTTTGTGAGGTTAAGCACACAGTAAAAAAACATTCAGTCAGTAGAGCATCTTCCTTGTCGTAGTCAGTTAATGTCAATATCTAACCAATAGGCTTGAGTTTTGATCTATTATGATTGTAATACGATAGTGGTTTATCCCTCGGTTCTGGTGAGGCGCCACTTTTGTACTTCGAAGTAGCCCCCTTGTACCTCGCTGGGTGGGCTGGCCTTTTGGGTTATGCCAATAGCTCAGACACCTTCTCCGTGCTGAATATATATATTCTGCCCGAGTATTTTGTCTTCTTTCGTCTTCAGGGAGTCTCGGGACGCTACAATGATACCTTATATAAAGCCTTGAAAAATTGTCTTTAGTCAACTTAATTAAAACGATGACTAACCAAAATAACCTCACGAAGACATACAAAAGCCCACTTACCGTAACTGTTAAAATGAAGTTTATATGGCAAAAAATTTTGTTTAAGGTAGAGCATTTTAGAGAATTGGGAATTATGCGTAACAGGATAAGATTATTGAAGTTTGATTTGCGTTGTTGCTCAGTGACAACTGTGTGGATCGAGTTAATGCCACTACCTTTAATAATATTAAATCTAGGGGGGGGGCTTGAAGATATGTATAAATTTGTGACATTTTATTTGTTTTATAAATTTGTTTTACTTACGTACTACCCTTGAATTTTGTTAACAATAATAAATCAACCAATGGTACTAAGGTGTTCTATTTTTAGTTTCTTAATTCATCTAACCGGCATGCACTTTTAGTCCATGTACATTGGATATAATTTTATTGTCTACCCGTGATGCAGCTGTGCTTGTGCCTATTATTTACGCGGCTCTAGCAAATTGGGTGTCTCGGGGAACTATTGTCTATCTAATTAAATTTTTCGCTACCAAGTTTTTCTACCCAAACCGTTTTATCTCGCTATTCAGATTTTCCCCTCTGTTTATGACGATTTTGATACGCCTTTCATATCACTATGGTATAACTCCGTAGCTACTACCGATTATGTGGCGTTTGTGCATTGTATATTATGATATGCTTGTTTCAACTTTCACGAAGACGACTTGCTTATAACCACACCCCTCTTAAAGGTATTCGTAAAGTTATGCATTTCTTATAATTTAGAAGAAAATGCTGACAACCTTCCCAATGTTTGGCGTTTTTGCTCTCCCTTCACCTTACTTTTGTATCTAAGCATCCGCTCTCCTCTGCTCACCATTTATCATATAGTTATTTTAGTTTGCTATTTTCCCTGCTTACATCTTCACTTATTTGAGAACCAATGGGTTGTGTATTTCATAAAATTTTAATTATCAGGAGGTACACCCACCACAGAGTACTGGCGAAGACCCACTGCCCTCCACAAGGTCGGATATCAAAGTAAATCAATTTGTTTGCAAGTTAACCCCCTTGTCCATCTGTTAGCCACAGTATACACTTAAGTATACATTAAATGGGCATATAAAAGCGGTTTCTTCTCTCAAGTTCTCCGAGTGTGGTCAGTGGCTTGCCAGTTCATGTAAGTCTACCCGCAACTATGATTCCCTCCTTTCCTTCAGCTGCAGACAAATTGATCAAGATTTGGAACGCATATGATGGGAAGTTCGAAAAGTCCATCAGTGGTCACAAACTTGTATGTCATTATTCTAAGCTGTTCTAATTGCAACTTTCTCCATTCAGGGAATATCGGATGTCGCGTGGTCTTCCGATTCCAGATTCTTGTGCAGTGCTTCGGATGATAAGAGTCTGAAGATTTGGGATTTTGCTTCTGGCTACTGCCTCAAAACTCTAAAAGGCCACAGCAACTATGTGTTTTGTTGTAACTTCAATCCACAATCAAACTTAATTGTTTCTGGTTCGGTAAGCGTTAACTCTTCTGCCTCTTACGTCTTAATATAGTTTGATGAGAGTGTTAAATTGTGGGACGTGAAGACGGGACGATGTATCCGTACCCTCCCTGCACACTCTGATCCGGTTACGGCTGTTCACTTCAACAAAGATGGCACTCTGATTGTCTCGTGCAGTTACGATGGTCTATGGTAAGTCACGCACGTTTATAATAATGTGATGGGCCATTTTCCTTGCAGTCGTATATGGGACACTGCTTCGGGTCAGTGCTTAAAGACTCTTATAGACCAGGACAATCCACCGGTCTCATTTGTTCGCTTTTCTCCCAACGGGAAGTACATCCTCGCGGCGAATTTAGACAGCACTCTCAAACTGTGGGACTATAGCAAGGGACGATGCCTTAAAATGTACAAAGGGCATGTCAATGAAAAGTACTGCATCTTTGCCAATTTCTCCGTGACCGGAGGCAAGGTTGGTCTCCATTTTGCATGTGACCATCTCCATCCTCTTTAGTGGGTCGTATGTGGCTCAGAGGACAAAAAGGTATATATTTGGGACTTGCAAACCAAAGAGGTTGTTCAGGCATTGGAAGGGCACACAGGTACGCTATTTTCTTCGTCTTTGTTGTCCTTGACGACACTGCTTTTTTGTAGACGTGGTCCTTTGTACTGCTACCCATCCAACTCAAAATATTATTGCTTCCGGTTCTCTTGAATACGACAAGTCCATTCGCCTTTGGACCAGTGAGACGTAAAATAACGCTCCTTAGGTGTTTATGCTCGTTTTTGGTGTATTTCTGTACTTATGTTCGACTTGACCCACCCAAGTCGGTTGAGGCATTCCTAAGATGTTTACAGACCAGATTTGTCATGTTTTGTACTTACAGTCTTGTAATGTTAACTTTAAATTCATTGAAGATGCAAGTAGGCATAAACAAAGAACTTTAACACCTTTTATATTGGAATGAAACCTCAATAACCACAGTTAATTTCGAGTGGACGGCAGTGAACCTAATCAAAATAAAGTTCAAAAGAGCTTCAAGTAGGGAGGAGGGCGTTTTTACACTGTAATGGGAAACATCAAAGAAAAAGCAAATGATTAGAAGAAAGTCATTTCATAAGTTGCCATGGCTTGCTGGAGCATTTAAGGATGGCGAGGACTCCACGTCGCGTGTGTGTCGTGAGGATTTCAACATCTCATTTACATTGTCACTGTCATCGACCTCTTCGCTGTAGGAGTCGTTTGTTGGTTGCTCCTCGTCCTTCTGTTGAGCTTCTTTTTGTTGTTGTTGATTCTGCAGCGCCATTCGCTCACGATAGTTACGTTCTTGTGCTTCTAACTCGCCCAATGTGACTTTGACTGTTTGCAGGCATTCGCCCCGGAGTTTGCGGATTAGAGACCGTGAAAGAGATCCAGGGAGGGTGAACATAGCCTAGAGATTGATAATGGGAAAAGAAATATGCTTTTGCTGAATTTCTAGGGAATCATTTCGACAGTTTAGAAATTAATCCATCATAAATTAAAATTTGTTCCTCTTAGATTGAACGGGAATCTGATGTTGATCGCATCCACAGCGCTTGGCGGACTTGCTTTTTGTGGAATCATTCATCATGGAGATATATTGTGTGCTCTCTCCTATGGTACTGGAGAAGTGAAAAACAACGATGGGGGGTGTATTTGGATTTAATCTCTACACCAGAGTACTTATATTTATGCTTGGCCCTGGAAGCGTGACAGACGCACTCAACTCTATGGGGTTGCGACTAGGTAAATTATGACTGATTCGAATAACTGAATTATGACACTTATTTAATTCTTGTCTCATTCAAACCCCGTGAGTGGAGATGTCTAGATTACGACTAGAGGAGCCTGCATTAACGCGTCAAAGCTACATTGCTTTGCCTCAGTGAGGTATACAAACGAGTGGTGTATTTGAGACAAACCAGACTGTGGAGAAATGGATTGCCTACCTTGAGGAATTCGTGACAGTAGAGGGTTTGTTTATCCTGAGTTATATCTCGGAAGGTGAGCACGACATCGGGGAATTGTTGACAGTAGAGTATCTCTCGAGTGTGTAGCTTTGCTAGAGCTATGCATGCTCGAAAGAGGATTTTATTACCTTCGTAGAATAGACTGTCAAATATTCGCAAAACAGTCTGCAAGAGAAAGCAAATAAAAAGCGACTACTTAAAGCTGTTTCATTACTGAGTAGAAGCATTGACGTTTTTTTTCTGGAAAAGGGCATATTTTGGTGGTCGTTAAGTTGCTTGTGTTGGGAATGGTGAGGACGAGACGAAGGTTCGGTGATTGTGTTTGGTATACGACATTCCGTCTCTCAAGCCGACTGCCTTTACAGAGCATAGCGGAGTGATTGTCATCCATGAGATACAACAGCTAGCTTCCATGGATTACCTCAGGATGGAATTAGATTTATCTATCGTAGAGTTTGCTGTAGGTAAAAATATATAAATTGGAGATGATCATTACTGATATCACGGATACAGCGCGTTTAAAATATTCAGTCAACAGTAACGATTACGAAGATCTTAATACATATTCAAAGAGTCAATTCCCGATGGGATGCCAATGAATACAAACAGATCACACGGAAGCCAAGTTTGGTGGTTGGATCCACCTAGGCTCCAGCTCATCGCGACCCTAAGTTCAGTAGTTGGGAGCACGTTTTTGTTCCACGCCGGGACTTTAGCTTCTCAATCCAATTCGAAGCTAAAAAATAAACTCACCTTGCAACTGGTACGCCTTGTCACGCCACCGAAAGTCTCGGATCCCTACATTGATTCCGCCCAAAAAAAGTGGCTAAAGACTTCTCAATCTTGTTGCCACTTTCGATGTGTTCTCTTACCAGGTCATGCCCCTGTCTTCTTGCGACTCGGTGCTTTAACTCGAAACGTGGGTGGAAAATGGAAGGGGGCAGATGTCAATCAAAGGTGCCGGCTATCACATTGGACACTTTTTTCCAAAATATTAACAGTTCCATCCTCCTCACTTCTGTTGAGGCTCTAACATTGAGCTCTTTCCTTTCCGAAAATGACAAATATTTGCTTGATTACGAAAGCTGAAGTGTGACACCGTCTGCCCCCTTGTCCATCCGAAGTAGCATTAATCTCGCGAACGAAAGGAGTGGTTTAAGACCTGCTATCTGTGATGATATCATGCCAGAATTTCAAGAAAATTAATGCAAAAATCATAACTCCAAGACATAGTTCCAGGAGTAGAAGTATATCCATTATTCCTGGAGATAGTTACCACCCTCCAGGAGACAGAAATAGGAAAATTTGCTTTAGATGGAGATACATAACAAGTGAAGTGATTTAGCAAATGGTCCTGATTTTTTCCCCTGGCAGCTTTGCCCACTTTGAATATGCATTTTAAATGCATGGAATAAGTGGCAGATTAGTTATGAGCTAAAGTTATTGGAGTGAAAACTACCCAGAATCGTATCTGGAACGTGACAAAAACTTTATAAGCACACGGTCTTTAAAAATGTGAAACCAATCGCCCTGCAGCGATCACTCGACTGGCAGTCAGTCTACCAAAATCAGTTGGAAATTTGACAAATGATAAACCAAAACTACTGTTTGCATCAAAGAGATCAACTGAAATGAGCCAAAATGGAGAATAAATTAGAGAGTGGGTCATAATTCGCCCTGCAATGCTAAAGATTGTCCTCTTGGGTTTCTGATAGCCTTTTGGCGTTCCCTCGCATCCCCTACAGTAGTTCATAAGACTATGCTTCCACGTGGTACAATACGCATGCACATGGGATTACTTGAGTTACACTTTGTTCCTTGTTGACCTCGCGGAAGGCGATTCACTATTGGTGCTATCAAGATCGGCTCCAATGAAAAATTTACCAACGCAGCTACATAGATACTTATTCCAGCTCTTATTCCCTTCCAATTTAAAATCACTATCTCTGAAGCAAATACGTCACATATATGCGACGCTGGTAGTGAACGTGCGTTTAGAAAGCATGATAGACCAACTCAGTTGACAAGTAAAACAAAGGGAAAAACTTGAAACTCGAAAGAATAGAATTAGAAAATGCGGACTTACTTCAATGGGAAGAACATCAGCGAATAAGCAGATAAACCACTTGGTGGCGAGAACAACACAATCCACGTGGGCATTCTTCAATGTCTTGTAGATACTCGGCGCCTTCTTCCTAAAAACAAGAGGACAATAACATTTATCCCATTAGCTCAAAGTAAGGCCAAATGATAACGGGAAATTTATAAACCTCGATAAGTACCAACTCCAAATACGTTAAGCGTAAATCTATGTACACAAACTTGACCTCTAAGTGTGAATCCACTCTCTGTCGTTATGGGCAAGTTTGTTTGCCTTCAAGTGGCACTGAAATACAAGTTAAATGACTCCTCGCCATTTCTCTTCTCTTCCTCCCGGCATTCAGCTGAATGAAGGTGGAGACATTTTCATGTCTATCATAACTGCTGGGTGATTTTGGTATAACAGATCACAAATGGAGGTTATGAGGACAAGTGTGCGGAGAATCGACATACGCAGATAATGGTGCAGAATATTCTGAACGCTTTCCCCTCCTTAGCATAATTACAGGGAGTTGGAACTAGCGCCCTAATTACCCTGTTGTTTGGAAGGAATATTCTCATTAATAATCTGCTTTGTTGAACTGCGCTACCCACGAGCACCTTAAATTCGCTAAAGCGAGAGGTTAATGTTCTCATTCTTTAAGCAAAATAAAATAGGTTTACAAGTTTGAATCCGTTAAAAAATAATTAGCTACAGATTTTGAAGCCCTGGTAACTTTTGCTCCTATCATTAGCTAGGTAGACAAAGTAATCCGTTAGCGCGTTACTGAAGTTCCCTTTCTAGGTAGATCGAGTTAAGATCCAGTTCAAGACTGCAGAATTTGGTACGATCTGCAAACTCTTGCTAATGGAACACAAACTTGATGCAGATTTCACACGTCTTTAAAAGCAGAGAACCTATCCCAACCACCTCCATCCAACTTACAGTCCAGAACATTTCAATTTTGCATCATTATCTGAAGGGTGAAGCAGTAACCCGCCCTTTCCTCTTGGCAAACATCTTCTACAAAGGCGCGTTTTAATGGCGTACAGGAAAGACGTGAAGTGAGATTTATGACAAACTTTTGTTTAGTAGTTTCCACTACTTCCCCTTTTCAGTTGATGTAAGTGAAAACCAACTATTTCAACATGATTGAAAGTTATATACCTTACTCTTAACACGCTAAACGTTTAGCTCGTGGTTTTGGTAAAGGGTCACTTTGGGTCTCTGCCGAGTGGGCTGGTCTCTGGGCCATGCCAGTAGCTCCAAGCCCTGATGTATGTCCAATATTTATATATTCTGCCCAAGTATTATGTCCTCTTTCGTCTATAGAGAAGTCTCGGGGTGCTACATTGGTTGCAACGCCAAGCGAAAGCGATTGTAAGAGACCTCTATCCTGATCTCCACTACTGGGCAATAAAACTTAGCGAGGTGGACGAAAGGCACATTCTGTGGGTAGAATGATTGGTGACAACCCATAAGAGAAGGGCTGAGAATGACATCTACCTTGGGCAACTACCCCGATCCGCGTTCTGCAGGAAAGCTATTAATAACGGGAACTACACTGGCCGTGAACCATCGCAAAAAGTTCGATTACGGAGCTGTCTGCCGTACCTGCATAAAGATACCAAATATGCAAAAGCGCGCTACCTCCACTTCTCTACCAGCTGAAGAGAACCCAGATAGATGTGCCTAGATAGCTCAGAAGTGAGAACAAGGTAGCAAGGAGGAATAGAAGCAAAATTCTACTCCCACGGAACTACCTTAAATCCCGTCCTTTGTTACATGACTCGCCTTTTGGGCCACTGTTCTTACGATTAGCTATGGACATGCATGAAAGCCAGCATATTTCTCCGCCCCCGAATCTAATTCCAAACAGGAGGAAACTGTAGATCCAGTTGAATTGCGAGAGGGATCTGCAACGATGCAGTCAAGTATCTCCTCAGGTAAATGAAAATTTGATGACTCGCGCAGCTGGGTCATGGGCGTTTCCTTATAGCAAGGGAGCGCCAAGAACGACGCTTAAAAGAGAGGAGGAACTATATAATACCCCAATTGTTTGCTTAACTATCAGTTTTGGTGAAGGGGTCACTTGGGTGTTCCGGCTAATGCCAGATAGGCTGACCTCCTGGCCATTCCAGTAGCCCAAAGTCCTCTTATATCTTGAATATATATTTTTCCAGCGTATTATATATTCTTTCGTCTTCAGGAAAGTCTTGGGGCGTTACACTACTCGTCAATCCCAGTTTATTCCAGGTCACCGAAGCACGTAATTACTCATTCTTATCAAAGGTAGAGGCGCGCCTAAAAATGTGTCATGCAAATTTACGTGGTTCATCACCAGAACCAAATCATTTGTTCAAAGCATTTGAATCGGAGCTATGCGTTCTAAATGCCATGTAACAAACAGGAGAAATTTCTAGAGCTGTAAAATCAAGGTAAACTGGGATCACATTTTCCAGGCACAGCCGAAAAGAAGCAATAGAGAGTATCACACCACATCACCGCCTCATAAAGCATTAATATGCACCATATCAGGAATTTCAATAACTGTTACGGCTATTGAATAGGTAGGTTAAGGCCTTATAATAATTTAAGCCACTAATGTAATACAGTCATCCTAATGCCCGAATCCGGTGGCGAACAATTATTTGAGATTGAGAATATAATTTGTCAAGTTTAACTTTTTCCACGATCTGGTAAACTTATGTGGTACTTTTTGCAGAAGAGAATGAACAATACACATACATGTATCAGAGTCAAAAAGGAGCGGTTTTCACGTCGATATGTAGGCACTTTAGGTGGTAAAGTGGAAAGGTTTATTTCAGTTGAATCTTAAAGCCCATAGGCAATTCATAAAGCCTACTCCAATGGGTGTGGGATTTAATTTAAAACAAGAAATCACCATTTGTAGAGTTAACGAGACTTTCTTTGAGGGAGAGGGAAGGGAAGAGAAGGGAGGGAGGGAGGTAATTCCTTTTGCATACTCTCAGTTGGATTTCACGAGTATATCAAGCTTAGCAATTAAGTTCAGTAACTCTTCTTACTTAAAACACGGATTACCAATATTTGCGGCATCGTCACACATACGCGACACCCAACTTTCCTGTAGAATTTTCATCAGTTTGCGACAAGCAATTGAGGTGGATTATGAACTCCTCCTTATTTGCCGAAATAAATGCAGAATTTCCGCAACTGTAAAGCCAAATTTTGAAAGATTTGCAAGTGATACAATTCCCAGGTAAAAAGTAACTCAGCCACAACTTCAAGCAAAATGCATCCTACTGTCCTACAAAAAGTTATCAAACATGTTGCTTAAAATTCAACAATTAATTTTTATATTGTATAGTCTATGAGGCTAGAAAGTGGCAGCTTTTGTTTTACTGAAGTTGACAGCAGGATAAAACGGAGTGCTTAAAACGGCTTTCACTTTCCCCATAAGTAGAGGAGGTGTGCATAACACAAACATGGGAGTCTCCAATTCTGTGAACATTCGAGGCGGCAGATTAGATCACTTCGTTGCAATAGAAACCCATAATTCGCACCAAGGACAGTTATACAAAGGCAATGTACGATGATTGTATCACTATAAACTGGCCTAAGCTACTTTGAATGAAATCTAGCAAACACGACTGACACGAGTAAACTTGACCCTCACTTTTTAGAGTAGACTCCTTAAAAACAGGAAACAAGTCCGGTATCAGTGCACCATGCGAGGAAATTCACACGATTAAAACATAAGGAGAGGGCATACCACATGTGAAATTTGAACCTCGATAAAATCTCAGATGAAAATAATAGCGAAACAAAGAAGAGTGTCAAGCAAGTGGATTAGCATTTATAATAATGTGGTGAAGTGATTTTATGGCAAAGGAAATCATCAGCGGAGAAGAAGGGGGAGGGGGTGGGATTTGCCAGCCACAATGGGAAAAAGTAATTGGTTGGAAGAGCAGGCCTTAAAACTTTTCAATCGGAATAATACGATATATTTGTAACTCATTTTAAAGTCCAGTGGATTGGTCGAGTTTAAGCCAACAACAAGTTGATGTAGGATACTTCTGGACTGAGGGGAAAGAGGTTTTTTTTCTGACCAATTCCCAGAGAGTAGTTTAATTATATTGGTGGATAGTTTCCCCAGGCTCCGGTTAGCCAAATTTGATAATTTTTTGCTTGTATAAGCGAAATGAGTTTTTTTGCGGCATTTGATTCAAGAAAGGTGAAGAAAATGGAAAACGTCAACTTTTGAGCATTTAAATACATTTTGAGGTAAAGATCAAGCCCACTAAGGCAAAAAGCGAAGACGAGATTCCTAAATAAAAAGTTTTCCTCCCTATTTTCCTTCATTCCTTCTTTAAAAACTTAGTACCATTTTGCTGAAGCCAGTAAAAGGGAAAGGAAGTTTTCGAAACCTGCCCAGCCCGCATAGAAGTAGCTCTTTCGCTTCAGTAAGTTTGGCACGAATCGTGACTGCGATATTTATAGAAACGCTACCTTGCCCTAGGGAGATGCGAATTTTTTGAGTTAAACACGGTTAAACTGATCTTCCGTCCGACAAAGTGGAGAAGAGGGTTCAAGTTCTTTTTTAAAGTCCTTTGCAAGCACCGCGAAGCCCTTAGTGAAGGTGGTCTTAATGGGGGGTAATGGAGCGGTACTAGGCATTCAAACTCTTTCAATAAACGCATTCAAAGCCGTCAGCTGCAGTTTGCTTTTGCAAGTACGCATAATTATCATGTAAAAAGTGATAAAAACACATTACTGTTCTGGGTGTTTGTTAAAATAGATGTAGTATGAGTCATTCGTTTTCCCGAGGCAAAATAGTAGGAGGAAAACTTACTTGAGCAGTTCCTCAAAGACGAGACAGTCAACACGGACATCGACCATACTGTCAGAGTAGTAGTTGGGTACAATGTGGTGAGACAATGCATAAAGCAACCAGAAGGCTCGCTCCTCCGCCTCGGCCTCCGGCACGCCTTGCGTTGCTAGTAGGAGCGTCGCTGCAACGTAGTTGAGGCCCTGCAACACCACATTCCCCCTCAGTAACTAAATAACTGAAACGGTGAAGCTAAACTACTGCCTACTTAATGCTTAATCACCAAGAGAGTGAGAGACTCATTCCTTTGCGCTCTTGAAGCTTAACTGCAAACTAGAAGTTTGATTTAATGTCCGCTTAATCACCTCTAGCATCACTAAAACCGTGATGCGGCTATCAGATCTGAAGTGAACACCTCGCCTCAATTCACATTCAGGGTCACCAATAATGTCTTATAACCTGGAATCTAGTGCAAAAGAAGAGAAATTCACTTCTAAGTGCTTATTCTTTAACTCTATTTCATCTTCCACACGGTCAGTCTGTAGCCTAAGTGGAGATGAAGAGATGGGAATCACAGTAGAGGCACATCAAGTAGTCCTTCTCTAACAGCAAGGAGGAAAGTCAGTAAATAACTGCACGTGGGCAGATACATTCTGCTACTACCAAAAGGATTTCACACATGTGACTGCTTGCACGATAACCTGACTACCAAGTGATTGAAATGAAGTATGCGGTTTTTGGTATACCTTGTTGCAATATTCTGCTGTAACTTGTGGGATATGTGAAATGCATGCGCCTAGTCGCTACTTGACTGTTCACTCGGTGGAGATCAAGCAACAATTATAGCTGAGTTTAATCTACTCAATAAATTAGGGGATAAACTTCTCCCTGAAAAAGAACGGTTCTTAGCCTTACAAAACAAAACAAGACCTCATACCTCAAGTCGAAAACGAAAATGGTCAATTAGAAGATTTACACTTGAAAGTAGGGGGAAGAAAGTAAGCCCAGATTTGTGATGAAACTAGACATCAAGAAATTGTGAAATACTACAAAGTCGGCAGGACAGAGGTCAATAGATTACAGGTTTTAACTTGGACATATGGCCACAATGACATTCCGCAAACACACACCCACTCT